CTGCCCTGGGCGCCTGAGGAGATGGTAGCACAGAGTCAGTTTTCCCATTGCCCTTGCCTCTCCCTGAGCCAACAAGTCAAGCTGTGTCTCTGGTACAACTGCGGCAGTATTGTCTACCTCCCAGAGAAGGTTCTCTGTAAACTTGTGGGCAATGGAAGCTGGACACCCAATTAAAGATGGGGAAACATCCTGAACAGATACCTCACCAAAGAAATATACAAATGGCAAATATGCATAGAAAAGATGCCCCACCTCATATGTCATCAGGGAAACACAAATTAAAACAACAATAAGCTACCACTACACACGTATTAAAATGGCTAAAATCCAGAGCACTGACAACAGCAAATATTAACAAGAATGTGGAGCAACAGGAACTCTCATTCATTGCTGGTGGGAGTGCAAAATGGTCACCACTTTGGAAGGCAGTTTGGCGCTTCCTTAAAAAACTAAACGTGATCCAGCAATTGCGCCCCTTGGTATGTACCCAAAGAACTTGTAAACTTAGGTCCACACAAAAACCTGAACACAGATGTTTATTGCAGCTATATCCATAATTGCCAAAGTCTGGAAACAACCAAAGTGTCCTTCAGTAGGTGAATGGATAAATAAACTGCGGTACAACAAGACAATGGAATGTTATTTAGCGCTAAAAAGAAATGAGCTATCGGGCTTCCCTGGTGGTGAAGTGGTTAAGAATCTGCCTGTTAATGCAGAGGACACGGGTTCAAGCCCTGGTCGGGGAAGATCCCATGTGCCACGGAGCGGCTGAGCCCGTGTGCCACAACTACCGAGCCTGCGAGCCACAACTGCTGAAGCCCGTGCACCTGGCGCCCGTGCTCCGCTAAGAAAGAAGCCCGCAATGAAAGCCCGCATGCAGCAACGAAAACCCAACGCAGCCATACATTAATTAATTAAAAATATTTTTTAAAAAAAGAAATGAGCTATCAAGCCATGAAAAGACATGGAGAAAATTAAATGCATATTACTAAGTGAAAAAAAAACAATTCAAAAAGGCTGCATAGGGCTTCCCTGGTGGCGCTGTGGTTGAGAGTCCGCCTGCCAATGCAG